ACTTTAATAACATTAATTTCTTGGTCTCGAACCTGAAGATTAACGAAAAATTTTAAATAATCAACACAAAACTTAACGACAAAAAGTAACTAACAGAACGTTTCCAATATGCATACCTTATTGTCAGCAGCATTTACAAAGATTTCATCCATTACTTTATATAATGCTGGTACGTAGGTAATTTCTCTATGAAAAAGAAAGGCACATGAGACACTTGTAATACGTGTTTGAAACCATATATAAACAAAAAAAAAATTTACCTGGAAACAAGCCTCACATCTGTTCTTTTAAAGAGTCAAGGATCTCAACAAGACGTGTTTCTATTGGTACTCTTATATATTTTTCCTTTATTTTTTTTTTCAGTGTTGGCTTCTCTTGACGAGGCTACAACTAATTCAACAGCTGGTTTTGGTGTTGAGTTAGGCATTTGTTGTTTAAGAAAGTTGAAAACATTTATTGTTTTATAACATCTTTCAGGTTTACATGCCTCATCAAATAATTCGGAGATGTTGATAATTCACTTCGAATCTTTAGTGAAAGCATCCCATAAAATTTCTCCTCTTACATCTAATATACTATGTTCAAATCTTTGAAAAAGATTTATTTAATTCAAATCCTGCATCTATAAAGTCTTACAAGTTGTAATTGTACGGAAGTGGGAGAAATCCAATTTCTGGAATGTATCGTGAAAAAATTAAGTAAACCCCTCATGAAAGACGAATTCATTATAATCACTACATATCCTCGTTCTTTAAGTTCTCGTCCTTTCGCGGGTTTTATCTTTAGGATTTTTTTGCTTCTAAATCGAAAAAGTTATACTTCCATAAATATATCCTTAAATATTAAGAATAAAACAGTGTTTTTATATCAATAAGACAACTTACGTTTTCTAAACTGAAATCCCCGCGCGCTTGAAATTTCATCAAATATTCATATCATGATCTTTATGAGAATCATTATGAGGATTATCAATGTCAAGAGCATCTGCATCCTTATCGTTATCATCATCGTCCGTAATTCTATCAAAGCAATTGGACTCTAATAATTCCATCATCGCAATTTTCGGAGGGCCTTTCATAATAAAGTGTATTATTATTGTTAGCCTTCATTTCAACAAATTTGGATTGATTCAAAAGCCTTTTAAACTTCTATTTCAAGTTTATGTACTAAAAAGTTTTGAGAATGATAATTTAGAGTCCTACTCTACAAATTAAATTAATAATATTAATTAATATAAATAAATACGAACCTTCCTCTTATAATAGTAATCGAGCCTGTATGTGTAAAATTCCTTTGGAATTTCTTCGGGAGAATCATATTTTCGAATACGACCTTCGCGCCATCAAAACACACCAAGTTCGACGTTCCGATGGGCGAGCTCATCATGAATCGTTTTTCAAGTCCTTCTTCTAAAGAATCTTTTAGACTTTCTGACGATAATTTGATCGAAAAATCTATGGTAGTTGTCGTATGTAATCAATCCTATTTATAAAAAAAATAAATTAATAGAATATTAAAAAATTCTAAGGCAGATTAAATACATAAAAGTTTACGTACGAGGATCCATGGCAGTTTATCTGTTCCAGATATACATTTCTCAAGTAGTTCTTTATAGTTTTGCGTCCATACACGAATTGGTAATTCGGTTATTGGGATTAAGTCATCATTAAAACTGATTTTTCCATAATTCTTGTATTTGTCATTGCTAATTTCCTCAATATCTCACTATAAATCATTAGAAAAATGATTTAATATAAAGAGAATTAAATGCCTGTTCAAGGATTCTTTTAAAGGATTATCATTCAAAATGTTACCTGGAACCCACGGTTCCACGGGTGCATCTTTACAGTTTCTTCATTATTGATTAATCGTTTTAAATTATCAACGATTTCTTGAGGATTATAATTTGGGATAGATGAACTCCAACCTTATAATTATAAGATGAATCAATATATTAT